ATAGATAGATAGATAGATAGATAGATAGATAGATAGATAGATAGATATAGACAGACAGACAGACAGACAGACAGACAGATGTGGATGGATGGATGGATGGATGGACGGACAGACAGACAGACAAGTATAGATGATAAATCAGGGGTCTTCAAACTTGACAGCTTTAAGACTTGTGGACTTCAACTCCCAGAATTCCTCCCCCAGTCATGTTAGCTTAGGAATTCTGGGAGTTGAAGTCCACAAGTCCTACACTTGCCAAGTTTGAAGACCCTTGACATAGGGATTCCCAATCTCCTCCCTGGATCCTTCAGAAAAACCGAGTCTCACCCCAAAGCGGTTGTTGCCGGATGCCCAGAAATCCTTGCCCTCCCTTTGGGTTCCTTCACCTAAGTCCAATGCCCGCTCACCCCCGCCAGACTTCCCCCTTCGTCAACGAAAAGTCTTGAATCCCCAAAGAGTTTCCTGAACTGGGGGCCGTGACTAGAGGGTCTTCCAGCAGCCTCATTCCGGGACCCCAACCGCCGTCTCCTCCGGGGGCAAGCGGGCCCGGTCGGGAGCAGCAGACCCGGCCACGGAGGATCCAGATCACCCCGCGCAAGTCAAGAGGATGCCTGGCGTCGGGCACAAGGCAGACAAAGAGCTGGACGGGGCCTTGGAGGTCTTCTAGTCCAGCCCCTGCTCGAGCAGGGGACCTGGGCTGTTTTTCTCCGCCTCCCGGGCTCGCCCGCCTCCCCACCGCCCGGCTTCCCCACCTCCGACTCGGGGTTCCCTCCCGCCCAGCCAGCGGAGCAGCTGCTCCCGTTCCCGGCTTTCTGGCCGCGCCCTCCGCCCCGGCCGCTGGAAACGGGCGGCGCCGAGCGTGGAAGGCGGCGCTCGGTCGGAGGCTGAGCCCCGAGACTCCCGTCGGCGAGGAGCCCTTCCGTTCGCCCCGCGCAGCCCGGTCCGGCGAAAGGGATGGAGCCGGGGCCCGCGTGGGGCCGGACGGCGTGCATCGTGACGGGCGCGTCGCGGGGGCTCGGCCGGAGCTTGGCCCGCCTGCTGGCCGCCCACCTGCCGCCCGGCTCGGCGCTGCTGCTGGTGGCGCGCTCGGCGGGGCCACTGGGCCGGCTGGAGGGCGAGTTGCGCGCCGCCTGCCCGGGGCTTCTGGTGCGGGCCTTGCCCGCCGACCTGGGCTCCGATCAGGGGCTGCGGCGCGTGGCCGAGGCCGGCCGGGAGCTGCGCGAGGCCCGAGACCCTCAGCGCCTGCTGCTCATCAACAACGCCGGTGAGAGGCGGGCGCCGCTTGGCCATCGCCGGCGGGGAGATGGCGGGGGGGGGGCGGGGTGCGTTTGGGGGCCTGGGGAAAGGGGGGGCGGGGGAGCGGAGGGGCTTGCGTTGCAGTTGAGGTGGGTGGGACACAAGGCACTCAGTCCCAGGCTCCCCCCCCTTCCCTCCTGTGCAGCCCATAATACTCACCGGGTGAGCCCCTGGGAAAAGATCCGGATTTTGGGGTGGCCTTGAGGGGAGGGGAGCCCCTGTCCTCAGAAGCACAGAGACCCAGGCAGAGGAGGACGGAGATGGGGTGGGAGGGGGGGGGGGCCTGGGCGCACTGGGGGGAGGGGGGGTGGGGGGGGGGGCAGGAGCTTGTGGGGTAGGGAGGAAGGTGGTGCGGGGGGCAGCGTCAGCCCCAGAAGGAGTGGGGGGGGGGGGTGGGTGGGTGGTCTCAGGCAGTGGGGAGAAAGGGAAGCCCCCTCCTCTTCCGGCCCAGCGGCAAGCCCAGTGGATGCTTCCTAAGGCTGGATTCCTGGTCTCCCAGTCTCAAGGGGAGGGGAGTGTCTCCCCTGGCAGCCCCCTGGGTGGCTGGGGTGGGGTCTGGGTGAGAAGTTAGAGGCCAGGGATGATGAGTGACAATGAGGATTTCTTCATCCCCCTCTACGCTTGTTTCGTCTTTAACTTTCTTGGCTGAATGTAAAGACAGTCAGGTAAACCTCTACAAAGGCTTCCATACAAAGTTTCTTTATTAGATTGTAATAGGCATCCTCAAGGTATAACTCACAGTTATGTTGAGATTCATCTAATGTCCAATCTTTGCACAGTTGACTTCATAGTGTGAAAATATAGTTATCTTCATCCCGTAACCATGGAGCGAAGGGAAAGACACCAGCACGATGTGCTGGGGTCCAAGCAAGAATAAAGGAAACTCCCCCAACCCAACCAAAGGTCAATTCAGTGACCAATCAGGATTACAGATGTGATCACATGACATGAACTACATTTCCCATGAGGCATTGACTACATTTACTATGGGGCATTCCCTTAAGGGGACAGCTCCCAATTCCCAATCAACTATATACGGTCTGGACAGCACAGTCTCCACATTACAAAAAAGACATCAAACCTGGGAGGGTGGGAGCTGAGAGAGAAGGGACTGGCCCAAGGTCACCCAGCTGGCTTTCAGGACTCGAACTCACCATCTCCTGGTTCCTGGGCCAGCACCTTTCCCCACTACCCCATCATCCCTGGGATAAAGTGGGGGCACTATAGGAATCCCCCACCCCCGCTCCAAGCTCTATACTTCTATTGTTCTGAAAGCGGGCCTGGGGAACCCAGAGCGGGATGGAGCCCACTAAATCAATGGTCCCCAACCACCGGGCCCCGGACCGGTACCGGTCCGTGGATCATTTTCTACTGGGCCGCCGGTTTGCTGGGCGCCGCCATCTTGTTTCGACGAGAAAGTGCTTCCGGGTGAGCTTTTCTGGTTGGAAAGCGGCGTTTGGGCGCAGAAGGAATCTTCGCGCCTTAGTTTCATCGAAGGGGGGGGCGGCTTCGAATGAAGAGCCGTCCTGATGGCGGACGAGATTAAGAAAGCACAAAAAAGCACAAAAAAGGTAAAAGGAGGAGTTGAAGGTGGCGGGGAGAAGCGGGGGATGGCTGCCTTGCCGGTCGCTCGGCTCACCTTGCCTTGGTCGTGCGTACTGATGCTGGTACCGGTCCATGGATCATTTTGTGATACCGGTACCGGTCCATGGCACAAAAAAGGTTGCGGGCCACTGCACTAAATGGCTCGTCTAATCTGCTGTCACGGGGGGGGGGGGTGTTGTGTGATTTTACTATATTAATTTATTTGATTTTACAAGTTTCACTGTTTTCAGTTGTGGTTTTATATGTTGTAAGCCGCCTTGAGTCGCCCTGGCGAATACAAATCTAATAAATAACAATAAATAATTAGGCAGGTACTACCTGTTCCCACCAGTGGGCCAGGGGTTTCCCACCCACCCCCCCGCCTTTCGAGTGCAACCGCCTCCAGGTGTCCTGGCTCATAATGAACCTGATGTCAGCTTTGAAATTCAGCTGCCACATAATGGAAGGCGGGAGGGGGGGTGGAGGAGTTGAAAAGTTCGAGGTTATTCTGTATGGTGGTACTAAGAAATTCCAGTTGCAGTTAATTGGTTCTCGTGATTTATGAAGTGTAGAAGTGGGAGGAGAGAAGGTGGATTCTGTGTAACATGCGAAAATACTTTCACTTTGGGAAATTGCCTTAGATGTACAGATCTGTTCCTAAATAAATCAATTGGAGAGAATATGTCTCGGAGTGATTGATATCATGGATGCTTTCTGGATGTCTTACACCTGAGCAGGTGAGAAGCCTGTGCCCTTCATTCGCAGGAGTGTGACTACAGTGGGGCTGGCAATGAGGGTTAGGGTGCCATTCATCTCTGGGGGAAGAAGGCGAGATGCTCACACACACACATACACACACACACACACACACACACACACACACACAAAACCAAGCCGTTTATGGGCCCGGCTTGGTTCAGCAAGGATTGGAGGCGTTCATTTCATGACGGTCAGCAAAACGGCTCCAAAGCATTCAGCACGAAGACAGCCCACCATCAGAATCATTGGCCTCTCCGGTTGGTCGTGCTACTGTCTGTGGGCAATATTTACATTTGCGCTTGATTAGCCGGGAGCTGCCCGGCATCCGGAATTGGCAGCCTCCCAGCCAGGGCTGGGTTGCCGGGGGTTCGCAGGGGTTCAGGAGAGCCCCTAGCTAAGATTCTGCACAGTTCGGAGAACCCCCCAAATCCCACTCCTGGCTGGCCCCGCCCACCCTCCTCTTCCCTCCCAGGAGTCCCCACGTGGCTCATTTTGGATGCAGGTAAGGGCAGGGCGTGTGTGCGTGGAGGCTCAGGGAGGGTAAAAACGGGCCTTTTTGCTCCAGACAGTGGGAGGAAGCCTTGTGGAGGGGGGGCACATAACCTGCTTCCCACCCTCCCCTGTGCTTTTCTGGGTCTCAGTCTCCTCTTGGAGGTGAGCCAGACCCCTTTCCCTTCCAGGGACTCTGGGCGACGTCTCCAAGACCTTCTGCGACTTCTCCGAGCCCGGCGACGTCAACAGCTACCTAAACCTCAATGTGACCTCCGCCCTCTGCTTGACCGCCTCCATCCTGAAGGCCTTTCCTGCCCAACCGGGCTTCAGCCGCGTGGTGGTCAACGTCTCCTCCCTCTGCGCCCTGAAGCCCTTCAAGAGCTGGACCCTCTACTGCGCGGGAAAGGCGGCTCGGGACATGATGTTCCGGGTCTTAGCGGCCGAAGAGCCAGACGTGCGGGTGCTGAATTACGCCCCAGGTGAGTCGCAGGGGGGGTTGTGCAGCCCAGTGGTGGGATTCCAAAATTTTACTACCGGTTCTGTGGGTGTGGCTTGGTGGGCGTGGCAGGGGGAAGGTTACTGCGAAATCCCCATTCCCTCCCCACCCCACTAACCTGCTTTCTTATATATATACATATATACATATACATATACATACATACATACATACATATATATATTTAACAACAGACAAATACAAACATAAAACAACAAACCATCTTTCAATTGTACAGTGTGTAAGTTGGTACATAATTCTTGTGCACAATATGTATAATATTTTCCTCTTGAATTTAAATTTACACTCATATTACATTAATCAACTTCCCATCTCATATTATTATTACACCATCGTTAGATTTTAGTTTCGAATCCACATTATCCTTTAGAGCAAATCTCAGTTCTTGCCAATTTATTTTATTTTTTAAAAATAAATTTTATTGATTTTACAATTAAAACAAACCAACAACACATACACAAATGAAAAAGAGAGAGAGAAAAAGGGGGGAAGAAAATAGAAAGAAAAAATAGAAAACAATTAAAAACATTCTCATTTTCAACAGTTTGTAAGACCTCTTTTTTTTATCCTTAATTTATGCCATATACACACACCAATTTAAATACATATTAGAAGTCATTAATCAATTACAACATATCATTACTGTTAAATCCGCTCTTCTATATCTAACCATTGGTAAAATAAATCCCATATCTTAAAATATTCTTTTTCTTCTTGCTCTCTAGTTGCTAATGTTAATCTACTCATTTCTGCATATTCCATTATTTTCTTAATCACTTTTTCCCACCAACCTGCTTTCCAGCTCCATTCTCCTGGGCAGGGCAACCAAAGAAGACCCAGCCAATCAGCTGGGACTCGGGAGGCGGAGAATA